CGAAGGGATTTTATTTAGTGTTTCTTTGTCGCTCTAATAGAAACTATGGTATGTTTCGTTGGGGCGAATCCGAGATACTCATAAAATCCTATCTTTAGAAGAAAGAAAGATTAGAAGAAAGAAAAATACTCTTGAGGTCCATAATTATTGCATTAACCAATAACTTGCCACTTATCAAGAATTGCCGACTTAACCTTCATCATACTGGCACATCTGGTTGGCTGAACGGAGGATAAATAAGCAACGCTAATAGTCCTTAGAAACCTATACTCGGTTGAGCCATCTCGCTACCGAAATGAGAGACTACAGATCTCAAGCAAGTTTCAATAGCAAGAAAACTCTTTTTCTTGAATGAAATCACAAGAGTTGCGTCACTCCGAAAAGCGGATCAAATTATTAACCACATCATGTTAATAATACATTTGCTCCTACGAGAGCATTGCTCCGAAAGTCGATACCTAGGAGAGAATTGCTCTGAAAGCCAAGCAACATTAATTGATCGGCGTAAGAGCGAGTAGCAGAGATTATGCTATAGAACAATATCTAAGTGTTAAAGTGTTCTGCAAAAGGGTTCTCATACTGACCATATGAATTTTCACCCTGGCCAACCCAAGCGGTTGAACACTAGCACAAACACCTTGAGTATAAAACCAAAGGTGAGGTTATAAATAAAGATATACAATTACGCTTTATTCAAAGACTACCATCTTCCACTCTAACACGAAGTATTCAGATATAAATAGATTTGGAAGGTTAATATACTTCTATTAATAGAACTACTTATATTTAGTATTTTACTCGGGCCTTTTAATGGCCATGTCCAAATATCTGATATGTAAAATGGAAAAGGTTTTTAATTTATAAAAACCGTTAAAATCCATTTAAGAGTTTACGTACTTTTAAGAGTACGTTTTACGTACTATTAAGAGTACGTTTATATTACTAGATTCTATTGTAGAGGACCTGCTTTTACATCTACAACGCGTGCCTGAAAATCCAAGAACACCCACTCACACCTCAAGCTATCCGTGAAGCTCATAAAGGCGGATGCAGACTTGTGGTGTGCCTGCCTTACTCCAACGAGAACTCGACAGTCTTAAACGGGCAGGTGTTAAGACAAATCAACACTGTTATTCTTATCTCATATACAATAACAGTTCAGTACTAAGTATAGTACACAAGAGAACTGACACATGTCAGAGTGTCAATATATTATGACTCTCATTATTATATAACAAGACTATATGATATACTTTCGTGTGAACTATCATATTGCATACAGAATATATAACCCTGCAAAAAGGGATAATAAAGTTACACTATTCATAGTTCTATATGGTTTAACAGGTTATGGGCGTATGTAACCAACACTAGACTACTACGCCACAATAGTGTCTCTACTCTGTCTCTTACCCTTCGCATTCAGCTACCTCACACGCTACACAACCGCGGGTAGCACAATCATGATATACACACAATCACTCACCATGCCTCCTTCCATTGAAGTCTTTACTATACCCCAGGCCTTTGACTCCCTCGAAAGTGCTAGTGCATTTCATGACGATCATTGGCCTGGTTGTCCTTCATACCAGACGCTTGACGAGGCAAACACGCACTTACTTGGCATTCATGTCATGCTCAATGAATTCCAACTCGTTGCTCACGACATCCCCGTCAGCACAGCTGTCCTTCTAGCTCATCTCGTCGTCTTGCGCACCAATGCTCATCGCATTAACACCAACTGCGACCAATATCACGACGATGCTATACGCTACAAACAGAAATCCGTTGACTTGGAATACGAACTCAACCAACTCCATGATTTTCGTTCCAGTGATGAGCGTGAAAAGAATATTCTTAAGCACCGTCTCGACGAAGCCCTTGAAAAGCTTGCTCATACTGAAACTCTCCTCCAAAACGAGATCAAGTCTGATCGCGACTCTTCTCGTCTTCAAGACCAGGTCACTACTCGTCGTGCCGATCTTCAAGCTACCCTTGATCAAATACAGGACCTTCGTCATGCGCACAAGAAACCTCAGTCCATCGCTGAAAAATACGGTGTCTCTTCCACCAAACCTGCCGTTGCCGTCACCGACTGCCCCAAATACAAAGACATTTATAAGCGCTTCAAACTCAAGGATTATATTAACTTCGGCAACTGGTTTATTGGCCTCCGTATGGAACTTGAACACTTTGGTGTTCTCCATCGCCTTCACCCTCATTGTAACGACGTCTCAGTTGGAGGCGGCCCCGACATGTTCGCTGACGCCCGCTGCCGCCGCATTCTCGTTGACTCCATCAGTGAATCGCTAATTAATTATATTTACAAGTCTCATGTGTCCAAGGCACCCCATGCCTTCTTTAAACACATCTGCCTCACCACCAATACTGGCAGTCATGGTCGTTTCTGGACTGCTATGAAATCCCTCATCAATTTCACCGCCACCGGGTCCCCAGATTTAACTTTTCAAGCACTGGAAGACATCCGCCAACATCTTCTTGACGTTGGCGAAGTTGTTCCTGATAAATTTCTTAATTGCGCTCTGTTGTACAGACTCAGTGATGACTACAAACTCCTTCGTTCCGACATTTTCGCTCAGGGCATTGATGATCTAACCATCGATGATGTCTACACGAAAGTCAGAAAATTCACTGGTGATCATCACCTCGACGTTTCTCCTTCTCCTTCTGGTTTAAACGCACTTGCCGTTTGCAATCCTTCAGCCCCTTCCACCACTGGTACTACTCGCCGTAGCAAGCCTTGTCCTATCAGTATTTTTGGATGCCCCGATTCCATTTGTTGCCGTCGTGGTTCCAACGACCACAAAGGCAACAAGTGTCCAGTGGACCGTTTCACACTTTCTTGTACCAACTGCTCCACAGGTCACACTGCTACCGCGGGTCTCTCCAATTGAAGCCACGGGGTCCACTGTGGCACACATTCCGACCTTCCCCCTCATCGCTTTTACCACGCCGACACCACCATACCTACGGAACATTACACTGTACACAGTGGACCCACAACACCCTCATATGTCGTTAATTCCCTTATTGATTCCGGCGCCATAATTCATATCCGTATGACCACCCAAGGCGTTATTAATCTCGAACACGGTGTCTTCACTGTGGAGTTCCCCGACAAATCCCAAATCACACTCACGCAACGTGGTCATCTTGCCGGCCTTGGTCCCGTTCTCATCATGCCACAAGCTGCCCAAGACATCCTTTCCGTACGCCTCTTGCAATGCAATGGTTTTGTGGTCAGAATACTATAGTACGTAGTTTATTTGATTATTTTAGGTCTATTATAAGTTTTACAGTTTACCAGAAAAATCTGATAAACTGGGTTTTAGGGGTTTGCTGTTTTTACAGCACATGACTGATGACTCATTTTGAGAGTCATTAATCTTAGGATTACTGTTTACAATTATTAATAAATGAACAACGTCCCCCTCCCTGAGGAGGGATAACGTTGAGATATAGTTACTCGACGTGTACTTACTACAACCGCCGGCAGGCAACCCTAAGCCCAGGCATAGGGAGGTCAAGAACTGTAGTGAGACTGATTGCAATTGGCGAATGACCCAACATGAGCCGAATGGCAGCTGGAATGCTAAAACCCCAAGCACTTTATCGAGAAGTGTGCCGACTGTACCGGGACTGGAGGTTACCACAAGCATACATGCAAGGTGAAACCAAAAGTTGAAGTTAAGTGACAAACATACCGGGTCTTGTCACTGAGACAAAAGGAAGCACCTCAAGACGAGCGTGTAATCTTTGATATACCTGTTAACGGACATGAAATAAAAGCGTTGTTCGATCCGGGCTCGCAAATTTCATGTATATCCTCTAGATTCTGTAAAATGACAAACGTAACTCGTAAGTCAGAGCCAACTAAGTTGAAACTGACTATGAAAGAGAGATTACTTGCAGAGAAATGGCAATCGATCTTAGGTTTACATTGACAGACCAACGTACTATAGTTACTAAGGCCGTCATATGTAACACTTCACCATACTATGATCTCATAGTAGGTATGAGTGATATATTGTTATTTGGTATCACAATTACAGGCTTACCTACTAGCATTGAACCACAGAAGGATCAGTCGGACGACAACTTGTTGAAACCGGTATATAAACCTTCGAAGACTGTGAAGGAGATGATCCCTCACTTTACAGAGAAACTCAAGGACTTGATTTTCGAGAATGACAAGATTCGGATCACTAACTGGGCTAAGTTCAAATTCAATAACGGATACGTTTGTCTAGACATGACGAGAGTAGATTTCTCGAAGCTGAAGTGTCCTAAATGTAACTACGTTGCGCGTACGAGAACAGGTTAAAGCATGGTTAGATGACGGAGTGATCGCAGTCAACTATGAGCCGACTCTCGTCAACCTAGCGCTTTTAGCCGTCGACCAATTCAACTCTGACGGGACACTGAAGAAAGTTCGGGTTTGTTTGGATATGAGCCCAATTAACGCTTTGACACCGACACACAATTTTCACTTGCCAAGGATAAACGAACTACTCAGGTGCATGGAGGGAGCTAAGATATTCTCCACTATAGACCTGAAGCAGGGCTACCACCAGATGAAGATCTACAAGCCACATCGAAAGTATTTCACCTCTACCTGGGAGGGTCATCAATATTCGTTCAAAGGTGCCCCCTTTGGGTTACACATGTTACCTTCGTTCTTTCAACAAATAATGCAAGACTTGATTAGGGACATGGACAATGTACAAGTATACATTGATGACATTGTAGTATTCACCAAAACCAAAGAGGAGCACGACAGGGTTGTGCGAGATGTTCTAGTCAGACTCAACGAGCCCAACTTTAAGATCAACAGTAAGAAATGCCACTTCGGTGTGAACGAGATTCAGCTGTTGGGTTACCGAGTATCCGGGGATGGAATCATGATCGATCCCGGGAAGGTCGAACACTTGCTAGACTGGAGAACTCCTACCATGGGTAAGGATGTCAACAGCATGTGCGGATTCGTCAACTTTTTGTCTGACGGAGTACCACACCTGGAGAGCTATTTAAATCCCTTTAGACATTTGAGACGTCATAAAGGCAAACTACTTGATTAGGGACATGGACAACGTACAAGTATACATTGATGACATTGTGGTATTCACCAAAACCAAAGAGGAGCACGACAGGGTTGTGCGAGATGTTCTAGACAGACTCAACGAGCACAACTTTAAGATCAACAGTAAGAAATGTCACTTCGGTGTGAACGAGATTCAGCTGTTGGGTTACCGAGTATCCGGGGATGGAATCATGATCGATCCCGGGAAGGTCGAACACTTGCTAGACTGGAGAACTCCTACCATGGGTAAGGATGTCAACAGCATGTGCGGATTCGTCAACTTTTTGTCTGACGGAGTACCACACCTGGAGAGTTATTTAAAGCCCTTTGGACATTTGAGACGTCATAAAGGCAAACCAGGCGCACTGTGGACCAAAAACTGTTGTGGCAGGAAGTCCCTGATAGGGTTTATTTAGGATTAGGGTTTATTTGATATTTGGGTTTTATTAGAGACTACATTTTGAACTGGGTTTATCCAATCAGGTTAAAACTGATTTACAGAAAACACATGATCAAAATGATATTCACAGGGTTTAGTTCAATAAATGAACAACGTCTCCCCTTGTACGAGGGGAGTACGTTGAGATACAATTATCCTCGACTACTTACTACATTTTTAACTGACTTAGATGTTGTACATTAATTGAACTATTCCTGAATAGGGGACGAAGTTAGTAGGGACTATAGGATCCCGTGTAAAAGTATTTTTTTTGTACACAACACAAATAAGAGAGAGATGTCTCAGATATCAGAAACGGAAATGACGGTCGTCAACATAGAACAACCGTTAGTAGATGACACAGATAGCGGCTTTATTAGTAGTGATACTAGTGATAGCATGCCAGCACTTCTACCAAACAGCAGTAGTGCGTCTGAGGCGGCGACGAATAGAGAAACCTCAGAAATCCTGAGACAAGCCAGACACATGGGACGAAACAATCGTAGACTCCGGACGTACACTAGTCAACAAGTAGACCGCTTGAATGAGAGAATAGAGCGGATATAGATTAGCGACGGAGTTATTAACAGACAAAGGGTACTATGTATCGACACCGAATATGTTACGGTAGCCAACCGATCCGGAGAAAGTGATATGTTAGAACAAAACCAAAGAGGGTGTATCTTTACATCGACATGGACACTCCGAACCACATCACATCAAGAAACATCCACACCGTTATGGGCACCAACACCTTCGCCAGAGCCGAGCCACACCAGGAAGGTTGAAGAGGACAAGGAAGAAGGATGGCAGATTATAGAAGACGAAGTGGAACACAGATAGGGGATAACAAAGGTAGGTGTAAAAGTTGGATGATCACCAAGACAACAAGGAATGTGGACGTACACATCAATCAGGTACGTAAGAAAACGTCAAATAGAGATATATATATATGTAAGATACGCCATGTATAACACTCAAGTAACTTGGTGAAGTAAGAAATAGTGGTCAGACATAATCGGAGTGGCAGTATGACATGGATAAGAATTCACGGTAACAGATATTCATGCAAAGACGGTAACACGGAGAGATGTGCATTGCAGCAAGTATTAAACAAACAGGAAGTAAGCTGCACACACAGTAAGCGCATATACCAATATAGAGTACAATAACGTGAAATAAGTTAGTACCAGAAGTGTTGAACATGCAAGCAAGTGACATCAATGTGTACGTGAACACGAAGCAATGGCAATGTGTGTGTGCGTTCAATGTGAGTGTGCGCCGTCCAAGCGAGTTAGAAGAGACAAGTGCTTGCGTAAGCACGGGATCCCAGACGAGAACGACGGATGATATTGGCGGACAAACTGAATAGCTACGAGAGGTTAGAGGCGACAATCGTTGGGGAAGTAGAGGAGCTTTGAAAGGAGTAAAGAACATGTGATTAGATGAGATGGAAGACGAATGTTGGGAGCAAGGAGTTACCGAGAGAGCAGTGGCACATGTGCCAAGAGCAGGGGTTAGTTAGAAAAATAAAAGAGCAACCACAACGAGACCCGGGATTAGCTTAAGACATAATTGCCTATGCAGGGACAACACCGATGCGTCGAGACTACGAAATAGAGCAAGACGTAGACGATGTATGTACCGTCAACGGGGCTTCAGGTTATTCGAAAAAGCGATGACACGACTAAGCAGTGGACTACTTAAGGCGGAAGAGAGGCAAATATATAGGGACATTGCTATCAATAGACAAACAGAAGTTTACTTCAACCATGGCTAACGTTCGACAGAGTCGTCGGCAGCAACAGCTATCCCCAGAACAACGTGAACGGGATGACATCCATCAACGAGGTTTCCGACGACGTGCTCAGGATCGAGTAGATACGGATGGAGAAGTGTCGGAGGACTTAGAGTCAGAACGTCGAACTAACCAAACAATACTCCAGCGGACACTAACCGCACAACAACAGCGCGACGGGCGAATAACCACTCCGATACGAGTGACGTACCCCCGAACTAATGAGAGCACCACATTTGACGTCGCAAGCTCACTACCAGGAGGGGACAACTCCTCGAGAGGCATCACGGGCTGTTACAAGTAATCGCCTTCGTTCTCATACCAAAGAGAGACGACAGAACTGAGGTAGAGACGATGACACACCAGAGCAAATGAACGGCGTTTGCGTCGACTGCGACGAGGGAGCACACATCCATCACCGGACAACATCGAGTTCCGCATTAGAGGAGCCGACGATGCCCGTCATGGGTTAGGATACACATCGTCGGATCAGGACGAAGGCAATACACAACAGGAAACGATATATCGTCAAAACTTTACAAAGAAACAACGTAGAGCTACACAGAACCCTCACGGG